TTTTATCTACTGTCATTTACTTTCAACCAAGCACTATTGTCTTTATCTACTCATTTACTTGCACTATTGTCTTTATCTACTGTCATTTACTTTCATGTCACTATTGTCTTGTATCTACTGTCATTTACTTTCAGCGAACTTTATTGTCTTTGTATCTACTGTCATTTTACTTTCAGTGAATCACTATTGTCTTTGTATCTACTGTCATTTACTTTCATTACTTTCAGCCAAGCACTATTGTCTTTGTATCTACTGTCTTTACTTTCACTATTTCTTTACTATTGTCTTTGTATCTACTGTCATTTACTTTCATCTGCACTATTTTCTTTGTATCTACTGTCATTTTACTTTCAGTGAAGCACTATTGTCTTTGTATCTACTGTCATTTACTTTCAACTGGCGCACTTTTGTCTTGCACTATTTTGTATTTGTATCTACTGTCATTTACTTTCAGCGAAGCACTATTGTCTTTGTATCTACTGTCATTTACTTTCAGCCAAGCACTATTGTCTTTGTATCTACTGTCATTTACTTTCAGCCAAGCACTATTGTCTTTGTATCTACTGTCATTTTTACTTTCAGCCAAGCACTATTGTCTTTTATCTACTGTCATTTACTTTCAGTAAGCACTATTGTCTTTGTATCTACTGTCATTTACTTTCATTAAGCACTATTGTCTTTTATCTACTGTCATTTACTTTCAATAGCACTATTGTCTTTGTATCTACTGTCATTTACTTTCAATAAGCACTATTGTCTTTTTATCTACTGTCATTTACTTTCAGTGAAGCACTATTGTCTTTTATCTACTGTCATTTACTTTCAGCCAAGCACTATTGTCTTTGTATCTACTGTCATTTTACTTTCAGTGAGCACTATTGTCTTTATCTACACTGTCATTTACTTTCAGTGAAGCACTATTGTCTTTGTATCTACTGTCATTTACTTTCAATAAGCACTATTGTCTTTGTATCTACTGTCATTTACTTTCAGCAGAGCACTATTGTCTTTGTATCTACTGTCATTTACTTTCAGCAAACTATTGTCTTTATCTACTGTCATTTACTTTCATTTACTTCTATTGTCTTTGTAAACATTTTTACTTTGTCTTTGTATCTACTGTCATTTACTTTCAGCCCAAGCACTATTGTCTTTTATCTACTGTCATTTACTTTCAGTGAAGCACTATTGTCTTTGTATCTACTGTCATTTACTTTCAGCCAAGCACTATTGTCTTTGTATCTCTGTCATAACACTATTGTCTTTGTATCTCTGTCATTTTACTTTCAACGAAGCACTATTGTCTTTATCTACTGTCATTTACTTTTGAGCACTATTGTCTTTATATCTACTGTCATTTACTTTCAGCCAAGCACTATTGTCTTTGTATCTACTGTCATTTACTCAGAGCACTATTGTCAACAAGCACTGACACTATAGTCTTTGTATCTACTGTCATTTACTTTCAGTGAAGCACTATTGTCTTTGTATCTACTGTATCTTTATCTCTGTCATTTACTTTCAGCCCAAGCACTATTGTCTTTGTATCTACTGTCATTTACTTTCAGTGAGCACTCTTTGTCTTTGTATCTACTTTCATTTGCACTATTGTCTTTGTATCTACTGTCATTTACTTTGTATCTACTGTCATTTACTTTCAATGGCTTACTATTGTCTTTGTATCTACTGTCATTTTACTTTCAATAAGCACTATTGTCTTTGTATCTACTGTCATTTTATAGCACTATTGTCTTTGTATCTACTGTCATTACTTTCAGCGAGCACTATTGTCTTTGTCATTTACTTTCAGCCAAGCACTATTGTCTTTATCTACTGTCATTTACTTTCAAAAGCACTATTGTCTTTATCTACTGTCATTTACTTTCAATAAGCACTATTGTCTTTGTATCTACTGTCATTTACTTTTCTACTTGTCTCTACTGTCATTTTTCAAAAACTATTGTCTTTTATCTACTGTCATTTACTTTCAGTAAGCACTATTGTCTTTGTATCTACTGTCATTTACTTTCAAAAGCACTATTGTCTTTTATCTACTGTCATTTACTATCAGCCAACTTCTTCTTTGTATCTAATTTACTTTGTCTTTGTATCTACTGTCATTTACTTTCAGCAAGTATCACTATCATTGTCTTTGTCTTTATCTACTGTCATTTACTTTTTCTATTCTCTTTGTATCTACTGTCATTTTACTTTGTCTATCTACTGTCATTTACTTTCAGCCAAGCACTATTGTCTTTTATCTACTGTCATTTACTTTCAGCCAGGCACTTTTGTCTTTGTATCTACTGTCATTTACTTTTCAGCGAAGCACTATTGTCTTTGTATCTACTGTCGTTTACTTTCAGCGAAACACTATTGTCTTCTATCTACTGTCATTTACTTTCAGCCAAGCACTATTGTCTTTGTATCTACTGTCATTTACTTTCAGTGAAGCACTATTGTCTGCATCTCATTTTCTACTGTCATTATCTTTCATTTACTTTCAAGCACTATTCTTTTATCTACTGTCATTTACTTTCAGCCAAGCACTATTGTCTTTATTATCTACTGTCATTTACTTTCAGCCAAACACTATTGTCTTTGTATCTACTGTCATTTACTTTCAATGGCTCTTGTCACTATTATCTTTAAGCACTATTATCTATCTGTCATTTACTTTCACTGTGTCTTTGTATCTCTACTGTCATTGTCTTTCAGCTGTGTCTTTACTGTCATTCTTTCAGCGAAGCACTATTGTCTTTGTATCTACTGTCATTTACTTTCAGCCAAAGCACTATTGTCTTTGTATCTACTGTCATTTACTTTCTGTCATTACTTTCAACTATTGTCAATTTACACTATTGTCTTTGTATCTTGTCATTTACTTTCAGTGATACATCATTTACTGTCATTTACTTTCAATCTACTGTCACTTACTATCAGCCACTATTGTCTTTATCCTACTGTCATTTACTCTACTGTCATTTCATTTACTCAGCAAGCACTATTGTCTTTATCTACTGTCATTTTACCAACACTATTGTCTTTTATCTACTGTCATTTACTTTCAACGAAGCACTATTGTCTTTGTATCTACTGTCATTTACTTTCAGCCAACTTTTGTCTTTGTATCTACTGTCATTTACTTTCAGTCTTTGTATCTACTGTCATTTACTTTCAGCGAAGCACTATTGTCTTTGTATCTACTGTCATTTACTTTCAGCGAAGCACTATTGTCTTTGTATCTACTGTCATTTACTTTCAACTGAAAACATATTATTGTCTTTGTATTCATTTCATTCTACTTTCAGCCAAGCACTATTGTCTTTATCTACTGTCATTTACTTTCAGCCAAGCACTATTGTCTTTGAATCTACTGTCATTTACTTTCAGCAAAAACACACTATTGTCTTTGTATCTACTGTCATTTACTTTCAGCTTATCCTTTTCAGTCATTTACTTTATTGTCTTTGTATCTACTGTCATTTACTTTCAGCCAACACTATTGTCTTTGTATCTACTGTCATTTATTTTATTAAAACTATTGTCTTATCTACTGTCATTTACTTTCAGCGAAAACACTATTGTCTTTGTATCTACTGTCATTTACTTTCAGCGAAGCCTATTGTCTTTGTATCTACTGTCATTTACTTTCAGTCAAAGCACTATTGTCTTTGTATCTACTGTCATTTACTTTCAGCGAAGCACTATTGTCTTTTTTATCTACTGTCATTTACTTTCAAGCGAAGCACTATTGTCTTTGTATCTACTGTCATTTACTTTTCATTAAGCACTATTGTCTTTGTATCTACTGTCATTTACTTTTCAAGCACTATATTCTTTGTATCTACTGTCATTTACTTTCAGCCAAGCACTATTGTCTTTGTATCTACTGTCATTTACTTTCAGCCAAGCACTATTGTCTTTATCTACTGTCATTTACTTTCAGCCAAGCACTATTGTCTTTTGTATCTACTGTCATTTACTTTCAGCAAGCACTATTGTCTTTGTATCTACTGTCATTTACTTTCAGCCAAGCACTATTGTCTTTTATCTACTGTCATTTACTTTCAATGAAGCACTATTGTCTTTGTATCTACTGTCATTTACTTTCAATAAGCACTATTGTCTTTGTATCTACTGTCATTTACTTTCAAAAGCACTATTGTCTTTGTATCTACTGTCATTTACTTTGTAAAGCACTATTGTCTTTATCTACTGTCATTTACTTTCAGCCAAGCACTATTGTCTTTGTATCTACTGTCATTTACTTTCAATAAGCACTATTGTCTTTGTATCTACTGTCATTTACTTTCAATAAGCACTATTGTCTTTGTATCTACTGTCATTTACTTTCATTGTCATTTGTATCTGAGCACTTTTGTCGTTACTATCATTTTACTTTCAGCCACACTATTGTCTTTGTATCTACTGTCATTTACTATTTTCACTGCTGAAGCACTATTGTCTTTGTATCTACTGTCATTTACTTTCAGCGAAGCACTATTGTCTTTGTATCTACTGTCATTTACTTTCAGTGAAGCACTATTGTCTTTGTATCTACTGTCATTTACTTTCAGTGAAGCACTATTGTCTTTGTATCTACTGTCATTTACTTTCAGCGAAGCACTATTGTCTTTTGTATCTACTGTCATTACTTTCAGCCAAGCACTATTGTCTTTATCTACTGTCATTTACTTTCAGCCAAGCACTATTGTCTTTGTATCTACTGTCATTTACTTTCAGCGAAGCACTATTTGTCTTTGTATCTACTGTCATTTTACTTTCTATTGTCTTCCATCTACTGTCATTTACTTTATTGTCTTTTTATCTACTGTCATTTACTTTCACTTTGTCTTTTCTGATCATTACTCTGTCACTATTGTCTTTGTATCTACTGTCATTTACTTTCAATAGCTACTATTGTCTTTGTATCTACTGTCATTTACTTTCAGCCACTAGTCACTATTGTCTTTGTATCTACTGTCATTTACTTTCAGCTTTATTGTCTTTGTATCTACTGTCATTTACTTTTCAGCCAAGCACTATTGTCTTTGTATCTACTGTCATTTACTTTCAGCGAAGCACTATTGTCTTTTATCTACTGTCATTTACTTTCAGCCAAGCACTATTGTCTTTGTATCTACTGTCATTTACTTTCAGCGAAGCACTATTGTCTTTTTGTATCTACTGTCATTTACTTTCAGTGAAGCACTATTGTCTTTGTATCTACTGTCATTTACTTTCAGCCAAGCACTATTGTCTTTTATCTACTGTCATTTACTTTCAGCCAAGCACTATTGTCTTTGTATCTACTGTCATTTACTTTCAGCCAAGCACTATTGTCTTTGTATCTACTGTCATTTACTTTCAGCCACAACTATTCTTTGTATCTACTGTCATTTACTTTCAGCGAAGCTAACTATTGTCTTTTATCTACTGTCATTTACTTTCAGCCAAAGCACTATTGTCTTTGTATCTACTGTCCTTACTATCAGCCTGTGTCTTTTTACTTTCAGCCAAACACCATTGTCTTTGTATCTACTGTCATTTACTTTCAGCCAAGCACTATTGTCTTTGTATCTACTGTCATTTACTTTCAGTGAAGCACTTTTGTCTTTGTATCTACTGTCATTTACTTTCAGTGAAGCACTATTGTCTTTGTATCTACTGTCATTTACTTTCAGCGAAGCATTGTCTATCTACTGTCATTTACTTTCTTTATTGTCTACTGTCATTTACTTTCAGCCAAGCACTATTGTCTTTTGTATCTACTGTCATTTACTTTCAGCTTTTGTATCTATACCGTCATTTACTTTCAAGGAAGCACTATTGTCTTTGTATCTACTGTCATTTACTTTCAAGCACTATTGTCTTTTATCTACTGTCATTTTACTCAGCCAAGCACTATTGTCTTTGTATCTACTGTCATTTACTTTCATTGTCTTTGTATCAAGCACTATTGTCTGTCTTTGTATCTACTGTCATTTACTTTCAGCGAAGCACTATTGTCTTTTATCTACTGTCATTTACTTTCAGCAAGCACTATTGTCTTTGTATCTACTGTCATTTTACTTTCAGTGAAGCACTATTGTCTTTGTATCTACTGTCATTTACTTTTCAGCTATTTTAGTTAGCACTATTGTCTTTGTATCTACTGTCATTTACTTTCAGCGAAGCACTATTGTCTTTGTATCTACTGTCATTTACTTTCAGCCATTGTCTTTATATGTCTTCATTTATCTCTATTGTCATCACTGTCATTTACTTTCAGCTACACTATTGTCTTTTATCTACTGTCATTTTACTTTCAGCGAAGCTAACTATTGTCTTTATCCACTTCGTCATCTACTGTCATTTATTTTTTCAGCGAAGCACTTTTTGTTTGTATCTACTGTCATTTTACTTTCAGTGAAACACTATTGTCTTTGTATCTACTGTCATTTACTTCACAGTGCACCATTGTCTTTGTATTCACTGTCACTTACTTTCAGCCAAGCACTATTGTCTTTTATCTACTGTCATTTACTTTCAGCCAAAGCACTATTGTCTTTTGTATCTACTGTCATTTACTTTGTGTTGAAGCACTATTGTCTTTTGTATCTCTGTCATTTACTTTCAGCCAAGCACTTTTGTCTTTGTATCTACTGTCATTTACTTTCAGTGAAAACACTATTGTCTTTTGTATCTACTGTCATTTACTTTCAGCGAAGCACTATTGTCTTTGTATCTACTGTCTCATTTACTATCAGCGAAGCACTATTGTCTTTGTATCTACTGTCATTTGCCAAGCACTATTTCAGCTAGGACACTATTGTCTTTATCTATTGTCATTTTCACTATCATTTACTTCAACTAATTATTGTCTAGACCACTGTCTTTATCTACATTGTCATTTACTTTCAGTGAAGCACTAATCTACTGCACTATTGTCTTTGTATCTACTGTCACTTTACTTTCAGCCAAGCACTATTGTCTTTGATTCACTGTCATTTACTTTCAGCTATTGTCTTTATTCTTGAATCTACTGTCATTTACTTTCAGCGAAGCCAATTCACTTGTCATTTACTTCTTCAGCCAAGCACTCATTGTCTTTGTATCTACTGTCATTCAGTACTCATTTCTTTGTATCAACTGTCACTATTGTCTTTGTATCTTGTTAGCTTACTCTACTGAATCTGTCTTTTACTATTGTCATTTACTTCAGCCGCTAATTATTGTCTTTAGAATTCACTGTCATTTACTTTCAGTCTAATTGTCTTTGTATCTACTGTCATTTACTTTCCAACCAAGCACTATTGTCTTTGTATCTACTGTCATTTACTTTCAGCAATTATTGTCTTTGTATTTGTATTATCACACCATTGTCTTTGTATTTACTTTCAGCCAAGCACTATTGTCTTTGTATCTACTGTAATTTACTTTCAGCGAAGCACTATTGTCTTTATCTACTGTCATTTACTTTCAGTGAAACACTATTGTCTTTGTATCTACTGTCATTTACTTTCAGCGAAGCACTATTGTCTTTTGTATCTACTGGGTCATTTACTTTCAGCAAGCACTATTGTCTTTATCTACTGTCATTTACTTTCAATGACACTATTGTCTTTGTATCTACTGTCATTTACTTTCAGCGAAAACACTATTGTCTTTGTATCTACTGTCATTTACTTTCAGCGAAGCACTATTGTCTTTATCTACTGCGTCATTCCACTTTCAGCCAAGCATATTGTCTTTGTATCTACTGTCATTTACTTTCAGCGAAGCACTCATTGTCTTTGTATCTACTGTCATTTTTACTTTTTTCAAAGTCAAGCACTATTGTCTTTTATCTACTGTCATTTACTTTCAATAAGCACTATTGTCTTTGTATCTACTGTCATTTACTCTTCAGCCAAGCACTATTGTCTTTGTATCTACTGTCATTTACTTTCAGCCAAGCACTATTGTCTTTGTATCTACTGTCATTTACTTTCAGCGAAGCACTATTGTCTTTGTATCTACTGTCATTTACTTTCAGCGAAGCACTATTGTCTTTGTATCTACTGTCATTTACTTTTTGTCTTTGTATCTACTGTCATTTACTTTCCAGCCAAGCACTATTGTCTTTGTATCTACTGTCATTTACTTTCCAGCGAAGCACCATTGTCTTTGTATCTACTGTCATTTACTTTCAGCGGGGCTAACTATTGTCTTTGTATCTACTGTCATTTACTTTCAGCCAAGCACTATTGTCTTTGTATCTACTGTCATTTACTTTCAGCGAAGCACTATTGTCTTTGTATCTACTGTCATTTACTTTCAACTGAAGCACTATGTCTTTGTATCTACTGTCATTTACTTTCAGCGAAGCACTATTGTCTTTGTATCTACTGTCATTTACTTTCAGCCAAGCACTATTGTCTTTGTATCTACTGTCATTTACTTTTGAAGCACTATTGTCTTTGTATCTACTGTCATTTACTTTCAACGAAGCACTATTGTCTTTGTATCTACTGTCATTTACTTGAAAGTAGTTTCACTATTGTCTTTTGTATCTACTGTCATTTACTTTCAGCAAGCACTATTGTCTTTGTATCTACTGTCATTTACTTTCAGCGAAGCACTATTGTCTTTGTATCTACTGTCATTTACTTTCAGCCAAGCACTATTGTCTTTATATCTACTGTCATTTACTTTCAGCCAAGCACTATTGTCTTTGTATCTACTGTCATTTACTTTCAATGGGCTAATTATTGTCTTTGTATCTACTGTCATTTACTTTCAGTGAAGCACTATTGTCTTTGTATCTACTGTCATTTACTTTCAGCCAAGCACTATTGTCTTTGTATCTACCTGTCATTTACTTTCAGCGAAGCACTATTGTCTTTGTATCTACTGTCATTTACTTTCAGCGAAGCACTATTGTCTTTTATTCTACTGTCATTTACTTTCTTCAGTGAAGTACTATTGTCTTAATATCTACTGTCATTTTACTTTTCAGCTGCTAATTATTGTCTTTGTATTCACTGTCACTTACTTTCATGAAGCACTATTGTCTTTATTATCTTGTCATTTACTTTCAGAAGCACCATTGTCTTGTATCTACTGTCATTTACTTTCAGCGAAGCACCATTGTCTTTGTATCTACTGTCATTTACTTTCAGCCAAGCACTATTGTCTTTGTATCTACTGTCATTTACTTTCAGCTTTAAGCACTATTGTCTTTATCTACTGTCATTTACTTTCAGCCAAGCACTATTGTCTTTGTATCTACTGTCATTTACTCAGCCAAGCACTATTGTCTTTGTATCTACTGTCATTTACTTTCAGCCAGGCACTTTTATTGTCTTTTGTATCTACTGTCATTTACTTTCAGTTAGAAGCACTATTGTCTTTTATCTACTGTCATTTATCAGCTGCCAATTATTGTCTTTAATATCTACTTGTTGTGCCTTTTGTCCATCCATTTACTTTCAGCAAACACTATTGTCTTGTATCTACTGTCATTTACTTTCAATAAGCACTATTGTCTTTGTATCTACTGTCATTTATTGTCTATTCACTGTCGAAGCCGCTATTGTCTTTTATCACTGTCATTTAACTTTCAGTTAAGCACTATTGTATTCTACTATGTTTACTTTCAGCGAAGCACTATTGTCTTGTATCTACTGTCATTTACTTTCAGCAAGCACTATTGTCTTTTATCTACTGTCATTTACCTTTCAGCCAAGCACTATTGTCTTTGTATCTACTGTCATTTACTATCAGCTGCTAATTATTGTCTTTGTATCTACTGTGTCATTTACTTTCAGCGAAGCACTATTGTCTTTGTATTTGTCTTTATTGTTCTATCTACTGTCATTTACTTTCAGCCAAGCACTATTGTCTTTGTATCTACTGTCATTTACTTTCAGTGAAGCACTATTGTCTTTGTATCTACTATCGTCATTTCACTTTCAGTGTGCCAACTATTGTCTTTTGTATCTACTGTCATTGTCTTTTACTTTCAACTTGTGCCAAACACTATTGTCTTTGTATCTACTGTCATTTACTTTCAGCAAGCAACTTATTGTCTTTGTATCTACTGTCATTTATTTTCAGCCAAAAGCACTATTGTCTTTGTATCTACTGTCATTTACTTTCAGCCAAGCACTATTGTCTTTGTATCTACTGTCATTTACTTTCAGCAATAAGCACTATTGTCTTTGTATCTACTGTCATTTACTTTCAACTTTTTCCTTGTCTTTGTATCTACTGTCATTTACTTTCAGCGAAGCACTATTGTCTTTATCTACTGTCATTTACTTTCAACTGACACTATTGTCTTTATCTACTGTCATTTACTTTCAGCCAAGCACTATTGTCTTTATCTACTATGTTTACTTTCAGCGAAACACTATTGTCTTTGTATCTACTGTCATTTACTTTCAGCGAAGCACTATTGTCTTGTATCACTGTCGTTACTTTCAGCAAACACTATTGTCTTTATCTGTTTACTCAGTGAAAGTACTATTGTCTTTATCTACTATCATTTACTTTCAGCCAAAACCCTATTGTCTTTGTATCTACTACTATACTTTTCCTCAGCCAAAGCACTATTATCTTTGTATCTACTATCATTTACTCAGCCAAGCACTGTGTCTTTGTATCTACTGTCATTTACTTTCAGCGAAGCACTATTGTCTTTATCTACTGTCATTTTACTTTCAATAAGCACTATTGTCTTTGTATCTTCTGTCATTTTCCAGCCAAGCACTTTGTCTTTGTATCTACTGTCAACTTTCAAGCACTATTGTCTTTATCTACTGTCATTTACTTTCTGTGTCTTTGTAGTCATTTACTTTCAATGAGCACTTTTGTCTTTGTATCTACTGTCATTTCTTTGCACTATCAACTGTCATTTACTTTCAGCCAAACACTATTGTCTTTATTTGTCATTTACTTTCAATAGTCTGTCTTTCATTTACTGTCATTTTCATTGAAGCACTATTGTCTTCTTATCTGTCATTTCATTTACTATTGTCTTCCATCTACTGTCTTTTCTTGTCTTTGTATCTACTGTCATTACTTTTCTACTGTCATTTTTCAAGCAAACACTATTGTCATTGTATCTACTGTCATTTACTTTCAGCCAAACACTATTGTCTTTTTATCTACTGTCTACTTTGTCATTTGTCTTTTATCTACTGCTTTCAAACACTATTGTCTTTGTATCTACTGTCTTACTATCAATAAGCACTATTGTCTTTTATCTACTGTCATTTACTTTTAAACACTATTGTCTTTTGTATTTACTTTAGCTTTTCTTGTCATTTTACTTTCAAGCAAACACTATTGTCTTTACTGTCATTTTACTTTCTGAGCACTATTGTCTTTTATCTTGTCATTTACTTTCAGCACACTATTGTCTTTTATCCTACTGTCATTTACTTTCAATAAACTTTTCTTCTTTTGTATCTACTGTCATTTACTTTCAAGCATATTGTCTTTGTATCTATTACTTTCAAACACTATTGTCTTTATCTACTGTCATTTACTTTCCAGCCAAGCTTACTATTGTCTTTGTACATCTACTGTCATTTACTCAACTAGCCTATTGTCTTTATCTACTGTCATTTACTTTCAGCAAGCACTATTGTCTTTAGCCCATCTACTGTCATTGCACTTAAGCCAAAGCACTATTGTCTTTATCTACTGTCATTTACTTTCAGCAAGCACTATTGTCTTCTATCTTTGTCATTTACTTTCAGCAAACTATTGTCTTTGTATCTACTGTCATTTACTTTCAGCCAACACTATTGTCTTTGTATCTGTCATTTTACTTTCAGTGACTATTGTCTTTACTATCATTTTACTTGTCACTTTGTCTTATCTACTGTCATTTACTTTCAATAGCCCACTATTGTCTTTGTATCTACTGTCATTTACTTTCAATAAGCACTATTGTCTTTGCATCTACTGTCATTTACTTTCAGCGAAGCACTATTATCTTTGTATACTGTCATTTACTTTCAGTGAAGCACTATTGTCTTTGTATCTACTGTCATTTACTTTTACTATTTCTTTGTATCTACTGTCATTCTTTCAGCCACTATTGTCTTTTGTATCTACTGTCATTTTACTTTCAGTGAAGCACTATTGTCTTTATCTACTGTCATTTACTTTCAGCGAAGCACTAGTATCTACTGTCATTTACTTTCAGCGAAGCACTATTGTCTTTGTATCTACTGTCATTTACTTTCAGTGAAGCACTATTGTCTTTGTATCTACTGTCATTTACTTTCAAACTATTGTCTTTGTATCTACTGTCATTTACTTTCAAGAAGCACTATTGTCTTTATCTACTTCATTTACTTTCAGTGAAGCACTATTGTCTTTGTATCTACTGTCATTTACTTTCAAAGCACTATTGTCTTTTATCTACTGTCATTTACTTTCAGCCAAGCACTATTGTCTTTGTATCTACTGTCTATTGTCACTATTTGTATCTACTGTCATTTACTTTCAGCCAAGCACTATTGTCTTTGTATCTACTGTCATTTACTTTCAGCCAAGCACTATTGTCTTTTGTATCTACTGTCATTTACTTTCAAGGCACTATTGTCTTTGTATCTACTGTCATTTACTTTCATTGTATCTACTGTCATTTACTTTCAAAGCACTATTGTCTTTTATCTACTGTCATTTTCAGCAAGCACTATTTCATCTACTGTCGAAGCACTATTGTCTTTGTATCTACTGTCACTTTTTACTTTGTATTTCATTGTCTTTTATCTAAGCACTATTGTCTTTGTATCTACTGTCATTTACTTTCAGCGAAGCACTATTGTCTTTGTATCTACTGTCATTTACTTTCAGCGAAGCACTATTGTCTTTTATCTACTGTCATTTACTTTCAGCCAAGCACTATTGTCTTTGTATCTACTGTCATTTACTTTCAGCCAAGCACTATTGTCTTTGTATCTACTGTCATTTACTTTCAGCGAAGCACTATTGTCTTTGTATCTACTGTCATTTACTTTCAATGAAGCACTATTGTCTTTATCTACTGTCATTTACTTTCAGCCAAGCACTATTGTCTTTGTATCTACTGTCATTTACTTTCAGTGAAGCACTATTGTCTTTGTATCTACTGTCATTTACTTTCAGTTATTGTCACTATGTCATTTCTTTTGTATCTACTGTCATTTACTTTCAGCCAAGCACTATTGTCTTTTATCTACTGTCATTTACTTTCAGTGAAGCACTATTGTCTTTGTATCTACTGTCATTTACTTTCAGTGAAGCACTATTGTCTTTATTTGTATTTCTTTCTGTCATTGTCTTTTGTATCTACTGTTTACTTTCATTTACTGCCAAGCACTATTGTCTTTGTATCTACTGTCATTTACTTTCAACCAAGCACTATTGTCTTTGTATCTACTGTCATTTACTTTCAGCCAAAAGCACTATTGTCTTTGTATCTACTGTCATTTACTTTCAGTGAAGCACTATTGTCTTTTGTATCTACTGTCATTTACTTTCAATAAGCACTATTGTCTTTTATCTACTGTCATTTACTATCAGCCAAGCACTATTGTCTTTTATCTACTGTCATTTACTTTCAAGTGAAGCACTATTGTCTTTGTATCTATCTGTCATTTACTTTCAGCACTGTGTCTTTGTATCTACTGTCATTTATTGTCTTTGTATCTACTGTCATTTACTTTCAGCAAGCACTATTGTCTTTTATCTACTGTCATTTACTTTCAAGAAACACTATTGTCTTTGTATCTACTGTCATTTACTTTCAGCCAAGCACTATTGTCTTTGTATCTACTGTCATTTACTTTCAGCCAAGCACTATTGTCTTTGTATCTACTGTCATTTACTTTCAGCCAAGCACTATTGTCTTTGTATCTACTGTCATTTACTTTCAGCACTAAGCACTATTGTCTTTGTATCTACTGTCATTTACTTTCACTTTCAAGCACTATTGTCTTTGTATCTACTGTCATTTACTTTCATGAAAAGCACTATTGTCTTTATATCTACTGTCATTTACTTTCAGCGAAAGCACTATTGTCTTTGTATCTACTGTCATTTACTTTCAGCGAAGCACTATTGTCTTTGTATCTCTTCATTTACTTTCAGCCAACACTATTGTCTTTGTATCTACTGTCATTACTTTCAGCCAAGCACTATTGTCTTTGTCATTATCTATTGTCTTTTGTATCTACTGTTTTACTTTCAGTGAAGCACTATTGTCTTTGTATCTACTGTCATTTACTTTCAATGCACTATTGTCTTGTATCTACTGTCATTTACTTTCATTTACTTTGAAGCACTATTGTCTTCAACATCTACTGTCATTTACTTTTCAGCGAAGCACTATTGTCTTTGTCATTTCTCAGCAAGCACTATTGTCTTTGCCTTATCTCTGTCATTTTACTTTTCAATAAGCACTATTGTCTTTTGTATCTACTGTCATTTACTTTGCCAAAGCACTATTGTCTGTCACTGTCATTTACTTTCAGCCAAGCACTATTGTCTTTGTATCTACTGTCATTTACTTTCAACGAAGCACTATTGTCTTTGTATCTACTGTCATTTACTTTCAGCACTATTGTCTTTATCACTATTGTACTTTCAGCCAAGCACTATTGTCTATCTACTGTCATTTACTTTCAGCCAAGCACTATTGTCTTTATCTACTGTCATTTTTACTTTCAACCAAGCACTATTGTCTTTGTATCTACTGTCATTTACTTTCAGCCAAGCACTATTGTCTTTGTATCTACTGTCATTTACTTTCAATGAAGGCACTATTGTCTTTGTATCTACTGTCATTTACTTTCTACTTTCAATCAAGCACTATTGTCTTTGTATCTACTGTCATTTACTTTCAGCCAAGCACTATTGTCTTTGTATCTACTGTCATTTACTTTCAGCCAGGCACTTTTGTCTTTATCTACTGTCATTTACTTTCAGTGAGAAACTTGCTGTGTCTTTATCTACTGTCATTTACTTTCAGCTGACACTATTGTCTTTGTATCTACGTCATTTACTTTCCTTGGCTTTATTGTCTTTGTATCCCACATGTTTACTTTCAACCAAGCACTTATTGTCTTTGTATCTACTGTCATTTACTTTCAGCCAACACTATTGTCATTATCTACTATCATTTACTGTGAAACACTATTGTCTTTTAGCCATCTACCATTTACTTTCAGTGAAGCACTATTGATATTTGTATCTACTGTCATTTACTTTCAATGAAAGCACTATTGTCTTTGTATCTACTGTCACTTACTATCAGCCAAGCACTATTGTCTTTGTATCTACTGTCATTTACTTTCAGCAAGCACTATTGTCTTTGTATCTGTCATTTACTTTCAATGACACCCTATTGTCTTTGTATCTGCATCATTTACTTTCCAGCCAAGCACTATTGTCTTTGTATCTACTGTCATTTACTCAGTGACACTATTGTCTTTGTACATCTACTGTCACTATTGTCTTGTATCTACTGTCATTTACTTTCAGCCAAGCACTATTGTCTTTTATCTACTGTCATTTACTTTCAGCCAAGCACTATTGTCTTTGTATCTACTGTCATTTACTTTCAACACTATTGTCTTTGTATCTACTGTCATTTACTTTCAATAAGCACTATTGTCTTTGTATCTACTGTCATTTACTTTCAATAAGCACTATTGTCTTTGTATCTACTGTCATTTACTTTCAGCCAAGCACTATTGTCTTTGTATCTACTGTCATTTACTTTCAGTCATTTACTTTCAGTGAAGCACTATTGTCTTTTGTCATCTACTGTCATTTACTTTCTGCATATCATTTACTTTCAAGTGAAGCACTATTGTCTTTGTATCTACTGTCATTTACTTTCAGTGAAGCACTATTGTCTTTGTATCTACTGTCATTTACTTTCAGCCAAGCACTATTGTCTTTGTATCTACTGTCATTTACTTTCAGCAAAGCACTATTGTCTTTGTATCTACTGTCATTTACTTTCAGCGAAGCACTATTGTCTTTTGTATCTACTGTCATTTACTTTCAGTGAAGCACTATTGTCTTTGTATCTACTGTCATTTACTTTCAGTGAAGCACTATTGTCTTTGTATCTACTGTCATTTACTTTCCAGCGAAGCACTATTGTCTTTGTATCTACTGTCATTTACTTTCAGTGAAGCACTATTGTCTTTTTATCTACTGTCATTTACTTTCAGCCAAGCACTATTGTCTTTGTATCTACTGTCATTTACTTTCAGTAAGCACTATTGTCTTTTTATCTACTGTCATTTACTTTCAGCCAAGCACTATTGTCTTTGTATCTACTGTCATTTACTTTCAGCGAAGCACTATTGTCTTTGTATCTACTGTCATTTACTTTCAGCAAACACTATTGTCTTTAGCACTATCTACTGTCATTTACTTTCAGTGAAGCACTATTGTCTTTGTATCTACTGTCATTTACTTTCAGCGAAGCACTATTGTCTTTGTATCTACTGTCATTTACTTTCAGCCAAGCACTATTGTCTTTTATCTACTGTCATTTACTTTCAGCCAAGCACTATTGTCTTTGTATCTACTGTCATTTACTTTCAGCAAGCACTATTGTCTTATCTACTGTCATTTACTTTCAGCGAAGCACTATTGTCTTGTATCTACTGTCATTTACTTTCAGCAAAGACACTATTGTCTTTGTATCTACTGTCATTTACTTTCAGCGAAGCACTATTGTCTTTGTATCTACTGTCATTTTTACTTTCAGTGAAGCACTATTGTCTTTGTATCTACTGTCATTTACTTTCAGTGAAGCACTATTGTCTTTGTATCTACTGTCATTTACTTTCAGTGAAGCACTATTGTCTTTGTATCTACTGTCATTTACTTTCAGCCAAGCACTATTGTCTTTGTATCTACTGTCATTTACTTTCAGCCAAGCACTATTGTCTTTGTATCTACTGTCATTTACTTTCAGCCAAGCACTATTGTCTTTGTATCTACTGTCATTTACTTTCAGTGAAGCACTATTGTCTTTGTATCTACTGTCATTTACTTTCAGTGAAGCACTATTGTCTTTGTATCTACTGTCATTTACTTTCAGCCAAGCACTATTGTCTTTTATCTACTGTCATTTACTTTCTAAGCACTATTGTCTTTGTATCTACTATCATTTACTTTAGCACTATTGTCTTTGTATCTACTGTCATTTACTTTCAGTGAAGCACTACTATCTACTGTCATTTTTTATCTATTGTCTTTGTATCACTGTCATTTACTTTCAATGAAGCACTATTGTCTTTGTATCTACTGTCATTTACTTTCAGCGAAGCACTATTGTCTTTGTATCTACTGTCATTTACTTTGCACTATTGTCTTTGTATCTACTGTCATTTACTTTTCAGCCAAGCACTATTGTCTTTGTATCTACTGTCATTTACTTTCAGCGAAGCACTATTGTCTCTTTGTATCTACTGTCATTTACTTTCAGACACTATTGTCTTTATCTACTGTCATTTACTTTCAGCCAAGCACTATTGTCTTTGTATCTACTGTCATTTACTTTCAGCGAAGCACTATTGTCTTTGTATCTACTGTCATTTACTTTCAGTGAAGCACTATTGTCTTTGTATCTACTGTCATTTACTTTCAGCAAGCACTATTGTCTTTTGTATCTACTGTCATTTACTTTCAGCGAAGCACTATTGTCTTTATCTACTGTCATTTACTTTCAATAAGCACTATTATTGTCTTTGTATCTACTGTCATTTACTTTCAGCGAAGCACTATTGTCTTTGTATCTACTGTCATTTACTTTCATTGAAGCACTATTGTCTTTGTATCTACTGTCATTTACTTTCAGCCAAGCACTATTGTCTTTGTATCTACTGTCATTTACTTTCAGTGAAGCACTATTGTCTTTATCTACTGTCATTTACTTTCAGCAAGAATTGTCACATTTACTTTGTCTTTGTATCTACTGTCATTTACTTTCAGCCAAGCACTATTGTCTTTGTATCTACTGTCATTTACTTTCAGCCAAGCACTATTGTCTTTGTATCTACTGTCATTTACTTTCTTTCTATCTACTGTCATTTACGAAGCACTATTGTCTTTGTATCTACTGTCATTTACTTTCAGCCAAGCACTATTGTCTCTATCTGTCATTTACTTTCTACTGTCATCTACTGTCATTTACTTTCCAAGCACTATTGTCTTTATCTACTGTCATTTACTTTCAGCCAACACTATTGTCTTTTTATCTACTGTCATTTACTTTCAGCGAAGCACTATTGTCTACTTTTGTATCTCTGTCATTTTTTCAGCGAAGCATATTGTCTTGTATCTACTGTCATTTACTTTCAGTGAAGCACTATTGTCTAGCATCTACTTCATTTACTTTTTCTATCTCAGCCAAGCACTATTGTCATTTACTTTCAGCTTTCAAGCACTATTGTCTTTGTATCTACTGTCATTTACTTTCAGCCAAGCACTATTGTCTTTGTATCTACTGTCATTTACTTTGTAAGCACTATTGTCTTTTATCTACTGTCATTTACTTTCAGCAAAGCACTATTGTCTTTATCTACTGTCATTTACTTTGCACTATTGTCTTTGTATCTACTGTCATTTACTTTCAGCCAAGCACTATTGTCTTTGTATCTACTCGTCATTTACTTTCAACGAAGCACTATTGTCTTTGTATCTACTGTCATTTACTTTCAGTGAAGCACTATTGTCTTTTATCTACTGTCATTACTTTCAGTGAAGCACTATTGTCTTTGTATCTACTGTCATTTACTTTCAGTGAAAGCACTATTGTCTTTGTATCTACTGTCATTTACTTTCAGCCAAGCACTATTGTCTTTGTATCTACTGTCATTACTTTCAATAAGCACTATTGTCTTTGTATCTACTGTCATTTACTTTCAGCCAAAGCACTATTGTCTTTTATCTACTGTCATTTACTTTCAAAGCACTATTGTCACTATCATTTATTGTCTTTATCTACTGTCATTTACTTTCAGCCTACTATTGTCTTTGTATCTACTGTCATTTACTTTCAGCGAAGCACTATTGTCTTTACTGTCATTTACTATCTACTGTCATTTTTACTTTCAGCCAAGCACTATTGTCTTTGTATCTACTGTCATTTACTTTCTAAGCACTATTGTCATATCTACTGTCATTTACTTTCAAAACACTATTGTCTTTGTATCTACTGTCATTTACTTTCAGTGAAGCACTATTGTCTTTGTATCTACTGTCATTTACTTTCAGCACTTTTGTCTTTGTATCTACTGTCATTTACTTTCTTTGTCTTTTATCTACTGTCATTTACTTTCAGCCAAGCACTATTGTCTTTTATATCATTTACTTTCAGTGAAGCACTACTATCTACTGTCATTTACTTTTATCTACTGTCATTTACTTTCAGCCAAGCACTATTGTCTTTGTATCTACTGTCATTTACTTTCATAAGCACTATTGTCTTTGTATCTACTGTCATTTACTTTCAGTAAGCACTATTGTCTTTGTATCTACTGTCATTTACTTTCAGTGAAGCACTATTGTCTTTGTATCTACTGTCATTTTACTTTCAATTTCACTATTGTCTTTATATCTACTGTCATTTACTTTCAGCAAGCACTATTGTCTTTGTATCTACTGTCATTTTTTCAGCCAAGCACTATTGTCTTTGTATCTACTGTCATTTACTTTCAACTACTATTGTCTTTGTATCTACTGTCATTTACTTTCAGTGAAGCACTATTGTCTTTGTATCTACTGTCATTTACTTTCAGCCAAGCACTATTGTCTTTGTATCTACTGTCATTTACTTTCAGCCAAGCACTATTGTCTTTGTATCTACTGTCATTTACTTTCAGCGAAGCACTATTGTCTTTGTATCTACTGTCATTTACTTTCAGCCAAGCACTATTGTCTTTGTATCTACTGTCATTTACTTTCAGCCAAGCACTATTGTCTTTGTATCTACTGTCATTTACTTTCAGCGAAGCACTATTGTCTTTTTATCTACTGTCATTTACTTTCAGCCAAGCACTATTGTCTTTTATCTACTGTCATTTACTTTCAGCGAAGCAACATTGTCTTTGTATCTACTGTCATTTACTTTCACTATGACACTATTGTCTTTTATCTACTGTCATTTACTTTCAAGCACTATTGTCTTTTGTATCTACTGTCATTTTACTTTCAGCGAAGCACTATTGTCTTTGTATCTACTGTCATTTACTTTCACTTTCTATTGTCTTTGTATCTAGCACTATTGTCTTTGTATCTACTGTCATTTACTTTCAGCCAAGCACTATTGTCTTTGTATCTACTGTCATTTACTTTCAGTGAATTGTCTTGCACTATTGTCTTTGTATCTACTGTCATTTACTTTCAGCCAAGCACTATTGTCTTTGTATACTGTCATTTACTTTCAGTCACTTTTGTCTTTTATCTACTGTCATTTACTTTCAATAAGCACTATTGTCTTTGTATCTACTGTCATTACTTTCAGCGAAGCACTATTGTCTCTACTGTCATTTACTTTCAGCCAGTCACTTTGTCTTTGTATTCACTGTCACTTTCAAGCACTATTGTCTTTGTATCTACTGTCATTTACTTTCAACTGAAGCACTATTGTCTTTTTCTATGTCCTTTCAGTGAAGCACTATTGTCTTTTATCTACTGTCATTTACTTTCAGCCAAGCACTATTGTCTTTTATCTACTGTCTCATTTACTTTAAGCAATAACTTTTTTGTCTTTGTATCTACTGTCATTTACTTTCAATGAAGCACTATTGTCTTTGTATCGGTGAAACACTATTGTCTTTTATTCACATCATTTACTTTCAGCGAAGCACTATTGTCTTTGTATTGGTTCATTTTACTAGCCAAGCACTATTGTCTTTGTATCTACTGAATATTTACTTTTCCAAGAAATTACTATTGTCTTATCTACTGTCATTTAGCTTATATTGTCTTTATCACTTTCAGCCAAGCACTATTGTCTTTGTATCTACTGTCATTTACTTTCAGTGAAGCACTATTGTCTTTGTATCTACTGTCATTTACTTTCAGCACTATTGTCTTCTTTGTATCTACTGTCATTTACTTTCAGCCAAGCACTATTGTCTTTGTATCACTGTCATTTACTTTCAGCCAATAACTATTGTCTTTGCATCTACTGTCATTTACTTGACACACATCTACTGTCATTTTACTTTCACTATTGTCTTTGTCTTTATCCACTGTCATTTACTTCAGCCTAAACTATTGTCTTTGTATCTACTGTTTACTTTCAGTGAAGCACTATTGTCTTTGTATCTACTGTCATTTACTTTCAGCCAAAGCACTATTGTCATTTACTTTCAGCCACACACTATTGTCTTTGTATCTACTGACATTTACTTTTCTTTAAGCACTATTGTCTTTGTATCTACTGTCATTTACTTTCAGCGAAGCTGTTCATTGTCTTTGTGTATCTACTGTCATTTACTTTCAGCCAAGCTAATTCATTGGTCTTTTGTATCTACTGTCATTTACTTCAGCCAAGCACCATTGTCTTGTATTCACTGTCACTTACCATCAGCCAAGCACTATTGTCTTTTGTAGATTCACTGTCATTTACTTTTCAGCGAAGCACTATTGTCTTTTGTATCTACTGTCATTTACTTTCAGTGAAGCACTATTGTCTTTGTATCTACTGTCATTTACTTTCAGTGAAGCACTATTGTCTTTGTATCTACTGTCATTTACTTTCAGCGAAGCACTATTGTCTTTGTATCTACTGTCATTTACTTTCAGCGAAGCACTATTGTCTTCTTTGTATCTACTGTCATTTACTTTCAGCGAAGCACTATTGTCTTTGTATCTACTGTCATTTACTTTCAGCCAAGCACTATTGTCTCTTGTATCTACTGTCATTTACTTTCAGCGAAGCACTATTGTCTTTGTATCTACTGTCATTTACTTTCAGCGAAGCACTATTGTCTTTGTATCTACTGTCATTTACTTTCAGCGAACTGTCTAATTATTGTCTTTGTATCTACTGTCATTTACTTTCAGTGAAGCACTATTGTCTTTGTATCTACTGTCATTTACTTTCAGCCAAGCACTATTGTCTTTGTATCTACTGTCATTTTTGTCTTTTAGCGAAGCACTATTGTCTTTGTATCTACTGTCATTTACTTTCAGCGAAGCACTATTGTCTTTGATCTACTGTCATTTACTTTCAGCGAAGCACTATTGTCTTTGTATCTACTGTCATTTTACTTTCAGCGAAGCACTATTGTCTTTGTATCTACTGTCATTTACTTTCAGCCAAGCACTATTGTCTTTGTATCTACTGTCGTCATTTACTTTCAGTTGAAGCACTATTGTCTTTTGTATCTACTGTCATTTACTTTCAGCCAAGCACTACTTTCAGCGAATCTACTGTCATTTACTTTCAGCCAAGCACTATTGTCTTTTATCTACTGTCATTTACTTTCAGCGAAGCACTATTGTCTTTGTATCTACTGTCATTTACTTTCAGCGAAGCACTATTGTCTTCTTTGTCATCTACTGTCACTGTCATTTTTACTTTCAGCGAAGCACTATTGTCTTTGTATCTACTGTCATTTACTTTCAGCCATTATTGTCTTTTATCTACTGTCATTTACTTTCAGCCAAGCACTATGTCTTGTATCTACTGTCATTTACTTTCAGCGAAGCACTATTGTCTTTCTTTGTCATCTTCAGCCAAGCACTATTGTCATTTACATTTTTCATTGTATCTTTGTATCTACTGTCATTTACTTTATTGTCTTTGTATCTACTGTCATTTACTTTCAGCGAAGCACTATTGTCTTTGTATCTACTGTCATTTACTTTCAGCGAAGCACTATTGTCTTTGTATCTACTGTCATTTACTTTCAGCGAAGCACTATTGTCTTTGTATCTACTGTCATTTACTTTTTCATTGTCTTTGTATCTACTGTCATTTACTTTCAGCCAAGCACTATTGTCTTGTATCTACTGTCATTTACTTTTTCAGCCAAGCACTATTGTCTTTGTATCTACTGTCATTTACTTTCAGCCAAGCACTATTGTCTTTGTATCTACTGTCATTTACTTTCAGCGAAGCACTATTGTCTTTGTATCTCATTTACTTTCAGCAAGCACTATTGTCTTTTATCTACTGTCATTTACTTTCATTAAGCACTATTGTCTTTTTGTATCTACTGTCATTTACTTTCAGCCAAAGCACTATTGTCTTTATTATCTACTGTCATTACTTTACTATTGTCATTTACTTTCTGAAGCACTATTGTCTTTGTATCTACTGTCATTTACTTTCAGCGAATTGTCTTTGTATCTACTGTCATTTACTTTCAGCCAACTCAGCTTTTGTCTTCTTCATCTATATTTACTTTCACTATTGTCTTTGTATCTACTGTCATTTACTTTCAGCGAAGCACTATTGTCTTTGTATCTACTGTCATTTACTTTCAGCGAAGCACTATTTCTTTGCTTTGCCATTTATCTACTATTGTCATTTACTTTCAATAAGCACTATTGTCTTTGTATCTACTGTCATTTACTTTCAGCCAAGCACTATTGTCTTTGTATCTACTGTCATTTACTTTCAGTGAAGCACTATTGTCTTTTGTATCTACTGTCATTTACTTTCAGCCAAGCACTATTGTCTTTGTATCTACTGTCATTTACTTTCAGCGACTAGCACTATGTCATTTTTTATTATCTACTGTCATTTACTTTCAGCCAAGCACTATTGTCTTCGTAGTCCATTTACTGTCATTTACTTTCAGCCAAGCACTGTGTCTTTGTATCTACCTGTCATTTACTTTCAACCAAAGCACTATTGTCTTTGTATCTACTGTCATTTACTTTCAGCGAAGCACTATTGTCTTGTATCTACTGTCATTTACTTTCAGCGAAGCACTATTGTCTTTGTATCTACTGTCATTTACTTTCAATGAAGCACTATTGTCTTTTCTCGTCATTTTACTTTCATTAAGCACTATTGTCTTTGTATCTACTGTCATTTACTTTCAGCCAAGCACTATTGTCTTTGTATCTACTGTCATTTACTTTCAGCGAAGCACTATTGTCTTTGTATCTACTGTCATTTACTTTCAGCGAAGCACTATTGTCTTTGTATCTACTGTCATTTTACTTTCAGCCAAGCACTATTGTCTTTCATCCACTGTCATTTACTTTCAGCTTTCATTGTCTTTGTATCTACTGTCATTTACTTTCAGCGAAGCACTATTGTCTTTTATCTACTGTCATTTACTTTCAGCGAAGCACTATTGTCTTTGTATCTACTGTCATTTACTTTTCAGCTGAAGCACTATTGTCTTTGTATCTACTGTCATTTACTTTCATGACACTATTGTCTTTATCTACTGTCATTTACTTTCAATAAGCACTATTGTCTTTGTATTTATCATTTACTTTCAGTGAAGCACTATTGTCTTTGTATCTACTGTCATTTACTTT